CCTTTACTTAATATTTGAAATTTCTAATAACCCTATGATGAAGACAAAGTATGATTAAGACCATTTTATATGGAGAAGAAAACCGAGGTAGAGAAATTAAATGACATGCTCATAAGCAGGCAATCAGGAAAGACTAAAGTCTAAACTAGCCTCCATATCTCTTGAAGAACTTGAACTACCACTGAGAAAGACACAAGCAAATTAGGACAGGCCACACTGTGCTGACTGGACCTTCTGACAAGCTCAGTTCAGGGCTATGAAATGACCTAATTTTTCTATTCATATTTTTTGAGCGGTAGGAAGAGAAGTCTCATAAGTGACTATTTGATAAGAGTTCTTATATTGATCAATGATTTGCCCTCTAATATCTATGACTCATCATAGATATTCTTGAGATTCTTGAGAATTGATTTTTAAAAAGATATTCAATATGACATTAATATATAACACTCATTTGTATTTCATTGTAAAATTGGAGGGGTCTTTTGTAGAAAAACAAATTGGCCCCAAGATATAATAAAACCATACTTACAAATGTAGTAAATTTTTTAAAAATGAGCATTTAAGGAGAAAATTACACTCCCTTCAAATAAATTTAAAAAAAAAAACTTAAAAAAATTTATATGTGACATGTTTGTATTAGGCCAATTTTCCCAAAGGCTTAGAGAAAAATACAGCACTCTCAATTTACATTAATATAACAAATTATTGAGAAGTTGCTCAATTTTTATCAAAGTCCTCAATATTCAAGGGCAGAATGTTGTTTACTTGGACCCTATTTCTTAACATTTTGTAACATTTGCTTCTTATTTGAAAATAAAAGGCACCTCTGGACTGAAGGGTAGACATGAATTAGATCCAAACTAAAAGTGAAAATCACAGCAAATATTTATGGACAAATATGTTTTCACATTTTTGTAACTGCAAACAAATGAATATAATGGAGAAGATTTCCTAGAGCAGAAGTATAAGAATATTAAATAATTCTTCCAACTCAGTTGTTCATTGAAAAAAAGAAAGAAGGCAGATTCACTGTCCCTATTGTGTAGTATTGTTAAGAAGTCAGTACCCTAGAATTCTTACCCCAATTTTTATGTCACTGATTAATTCTTTAATCTAGAAATAATTAGTAATAATAGAGTGAACTCATTCAGCATCAAAAATCTATAAATTTTAATACTGGATACCTCTCAAATGCAGAAACCTGAATTTCATATAATGAGATTGCTAATGACCTTAAAAGGTTACCAAGTTATTATAAATTCTGTTATTTTATATCAGAATTGTTGTTTTAAGCAACTTTTCATTATTCATTATAATAGATGAAATGTGTTCTGTTATGTAAATTACTATAATCTTTCAGAGGAAAAAAAGTTTGGAAAACAAAAATTGGAAACTACACGGGGAATAATAAAGCTCTTTGCCTTGGAGGAAGAGTTATAGAGGAGCCATTATGTAACATTTGAGAGTTTTATTTCAAGATCTTAAGCAAAGTCTTATCTGGGTAATATATCATTTTTCTTGTCATCATCATTTGCCAGGTGTTATTTAATAGCACCCACTTTTGAAGAGCTTGTTGTGGCATTAAAAGTATCTCTGTATTTGAGGCTGAATGGCATGTGCATGTATGCATGAGTATCCATGTGTTGGGATGTGAAACAGTGTTGTGTTAACATGATATACAAAAGGCAGTGTATACATGTGAATGCATAATCATGAATGTTTGATTTACAAAAGTGAGGTTAACTTTGGTGTTCATTTCTGCCCCTAATAGGACCTAACACAATTGTCATTTTAAAATTCAAAATAGAGGCATAGACATAATGTTTGTGGGTGGTTTTTTTTGGAAAAACAACCTCTGTTTCCATAGCTAACATTCATCAGCAGCCATACAAGAGAGTTCTTCTCTAAGTGGTGAGAGAGGAGGCCTGGCCCTGTACCTGAGGCCCTTGGAATAGCGGCCTGGGGTCCTGATTCTCACCCTAAAATAGGATCAGGCCCTTTCTAAGGCACCAGATCAGGATGGCTGTGCCTGCCAGCCTATGAAGACTGAGTGACACCTTGTTTTCTAAACACAAACACATTTCAAACCTGTCTTTGATCTTCATACAGTGGGATCCCAAATAAGGAAACTAACCAAAAGAATTCCTGTTCCCTTGATGTTTTGCCATTTTTTTATGATCTTCCAGATTATTCTGAAAATGAATAAGATGAGGAGTCCACTGAAGAAGGTCAAGAAGGAGGAAAGAATAAACGCAGCTTGGATCTCAGTTGTGCAGGACGTTTTCCCCAGGTCTTCACCACTATCATTTTGCAGCTTGGTTAGAAACATCAGGAAACTGAATTGCCAGAATTCTATGATGTCATGATCACATGGCAATGATTCTAGGAATTAGAGTTCAGTAGATTATGAGACCTAATGCCAGGTGTAACAACAATGTGTGATTCTAAGAACAGGGGTTAGCTAACCACTGAGATGCTGACTCATAGGATGCAAATGAATAAACAGAGGGAGAAGGCTGGGGTCACAACATGGTTCTTCAGAAGATGTGAATTCTAGATCTGATTCTGTTACTCACTTTCTCTGTGACCTGGAGGAAGTTACATCCTTTGTGGTTATGGGCAACAGGCTATCTATTTGGTTGTGCAGTCAAACAATTTCAGAACAACTCTTTTTGAGTGAAATGACATCCAACCATCTGTGTGTAAATGAGTTGGTTCTTCATCTGAGCGAAATGCCACATTCTCAGTAATCTTGGAAGGACATATGGAAGAAGAACTCCAAGATTTCTGTTTATCCTTTCCATCAGAAAAGCATGGTATAGAGTACAGGTATTGTAGAAGGCAATTTTCCACTGTGAACATTGGTCAATTATTATTTGAACCCAGGAATCCGTTTCCCTTATCTCTTCTTTATGGGACTTTCTCTTTTCTTGTTTTTATCCATGCCCTGTCAACAAATTCTTTGGTCCAAGAGAGGTAGAGTTTAGAATAAGAGCAATTTCTTTCATTTTCTCTGATGTTTTCAAAAGTGTAAGAAATGTCATGCCTTTCAGCATGCACAGGTGACAGGCAAAACGTCAGAGCATGAAAGAAGGTCTAGTCTGCCCTGGTTTTTGTGAAGAGTACCCGATTTTTTTTTTTTTTTTTTTTTTTTTCCTTTGGCTGGCAC